CAGTCCTGTGGTGCATTGTTTCTCATTGTTGTAAGCTTTATATATGTTTCGTCCCCGTTTAGAATGTAAAAGAAGAAGGAAAGAAAGGAAATCCTTGTCATCCTCTTCCTCCTATCTGTGTCACTCCTCAGTCTTTTTTTATATGATAAGGAATAGAATTAGTGTCACAAAGAAATTTGATAGCGTTAAAAAAAAAGTAGAATTTTCAGATTCTCTTGCTGCAGTGATTTTATTAATTAATGAGAAAAGTAATCTCCTCCTCCATTGCAGAAGGCATCTTGCACAGAGACGATGATGAATGATGAAAATTGTAATATGTAATATTAATCTCCTCCCCTTTGCAGAAGGCAACATGCACAGATGATGATGATGATTGAAGATGACGAAGAGGATGAGGAAGCTGCAGATATGAGGCTTATGAGGATCAGGCATGCTGGAGCAAGAGGGATCCTGTATGTTGTTAATTGTTTTAAAAAGCTTTGTTGAGCAGGTGTTGTTTTGTGCAATAATTGTTAGGTATGTATATTTTTTCTGATTAATACATTTTGCATTGGAAATAATCAGTAATTCATAAAGTGGAAAGCCTTGCTTTGGCAAGATATAACAAAATTTCTCTTTTCTTTTCTGTCCCTCTTGTCTACTTTCTCTTTCATGTGCTTTCTGTTCTCCCATTCTATCTTCTTTTCTCCTCTCTGTTTTCTTTCTCTTCTTATTTTCTTTTTTGATATTTCCACTCGCTCTCTCTCTCATCTCTCTCCTCTCTCTCTCATCGCATCTCTCTCTCTCTCTCTCTCTCTCTCTCTCTACTCTCACCATCTCTCTCTCTCTCCTCTCCCCTCTCTCATCCCTCTCTCCCTCGCCCTCTCCCTCTCATCTCCTCCCCTCTCTCCATCTCTTCCTCTCTCTCTCCCTCCTCTCTCTCTTCTCTCTCTCTCTTCTCTCTCTCCTCTCCTCCTCCTCTCTCTCTCTCTCTCTCTCTCTCTCTTCTCTCTCTCTCTCATTCATCTCTTCTCTCTCTGTCTCTCTCTCTCTCTTCTCTCTCTCTTCTCCGTCTCTCTCTCTCTCTCTCGTCCTCCATCCCTCCCTCCCTCCCTCCCCCATCCCTCCATCCTCCCTCCACTCCCACTCTCCCTCCTCTCCCTCTCTCCCTCTCTCTCTCTCCCTCCCTCTCCTCCCTCCTCCCAACCCCCTCCCATCCACTCCCTCCCTCCCTCCCTGCCCTCCTCCCTCCCCTCCTCCCTCTCTCTCCCCTGCTCTCTCTCTCTCTCTCTCTTCTCTCTCGTCTCTCTCTCTCTCTCTCTTCATCTTCTCTCTTTTCCTCTCTCTCTCCTCTCTCTCTTCTCTCTCTCTCCTCTTTCTCTCTCTCCCCTCCCTCTCCCTCCCTCCCTCCCTCCCTCCCTCCCCGCCCTCCCTCCCTCCCTCCCTCCCTCTCTCTCTCCCTCTCTCTCTCTCTCCTCTCTCTCTCTCCTCTCTCTCTCTCGTCCTCTCTCTCTCTCTCTCTCTCTCTCTCTCTCTCTCTCTCTTTCTCTCTCTCCCTCCCTCTCCCCTCCCTCCCTCCCTCCCTCCCTCCCTCCCTCCCTCCTTCCTGTTCTCCTTCCCCTTTTGTCTCATTCTTTCCTTCCCATACCACTCACCATTACTCCTTCCCCCTTCAATCTCTTGCTCTCTCTCTCCAGAGTTCATACCAGACCCCAGGACCGTTCCTGCAGTGTCTAGCTTGGGGAACAGCACTAGCGACGGGGGTGAGGTCCTCCAAACCCGCACATATGACTTGCACATCACCTATGACCAAGTACTACCAGACACCTCGCCTGTGGTTGACAGGTTATGATGAGGCAAGTCTAAGAGAAGCTTTGTTGGCAGTGTTGAATGTAGATAAATTAATTCCCTTTCTTTCCCCTGCCACTATACTTTATTTAAAGGAGGTACATTTTTATTTTACTTCATTAAAGAAGTTACTCTGGAAAATTACTTGGAGATGGATCTTTGCACTGTTAGACATACTATACCAGTTAGTAAGAAGTTTTTGTTTAAAGAAGTTGTTTTTCTGATGGCCTCATCAATATATGATTATTTATTTGTCTTGACTTTGGGTCAAATCTGTCCTATAGTTAATTATAGTCTTTTTTTTATGTATATATGTTTTGTGTGCATGTCATTAGTTGTTGATAATGTAATAGTTTATTCAAGTATTTTAAAGCGTTCTATTCTTGTTGGTAGAATCGACAACCTTTAACAGTTGAAGAAATGTATGAGGACTTTAGCCAGGATCATGCCAACAAGACAGTCACCATGGAAACACATCCTCATCTCCCAGGTCCTCCCATGGCGTCTGTCCATCCCTGCAGGTCAGTATTTTTCTTTCTTTCTTTTTTTTTAAGCCTTTTTCTTTATGTAGATTTAACTACTATTATATAGTATCAGTGAATATGTAAAATTATGCTGGTAGATAATATTTGTTTCAATAACACAAATATATTTTGATTCAAAATTTTAGATAAACAAAAATTAGAATTTGCCTTTCTTTATGTTTTTACTCTGTAGTTTGTCTCTTTTATTGGTTGCTTTCTTTTCATTCTCTCTTTCCTTTCCCATTTTCATTCCCTTTATCATTTTTAGTTCTTCCTTTCTAAATTTTGATAACTCCATCCTTATGCTAGCCTTTACTCTGTCTCTCATCCCTAGACATGCCGAGACCATGAAGAAGATATGTGAAACAGTGCTTGAAGGCGGAGGCGAGTTGGGGGTCCACCTGTACCTCATAGTGTTCCTGAAGTTTGTACAGGCCATCATTCCCACCATCGAATACGATTACACGCACAATTTCACACTGGCTCCTTAGGATAACTGATCATGGGGAAAAGTGCTGGTGTTTCTGCAAGTAGTCGTCTTCTGCTGACCTGAGAAAGTTGAATTAGCAAGCAAACTATAAACTATGTAATCACTATTGTTATTATTATTATTATTATTGTTATTATTATTATTATTATTAATATTACCACTGCTGCTGCTACTATTGCTACTACTATTTTATTGTTGTTGTTGTTTTTATATGTGGTAATTATTCTATTGTGTTATTATAATTGTTTTTGTATTTGGTTTTATTATTGTAATAATTATTATAATTATTGTTATTGTTATTCATTATCATCATTATTATAATTGTTATTATTATTATTATTATTATTATTATTATTATTATTATTCATTACTACTATTATTAGCAGTATCTTCATCATCATTATTATTGTTTATATTATTATTGTTATTATCACAACTTATTATTATATTATTCCTTTCCATTTTTACAAGCTCTGGACCTCTTCTCAAGGCTCTGAACTTTACCACTGAGCTAGTCGTTGTACTTCTGCCAAAAAACAGCTTCACAGCTTGGTTAAAGTGATATGCCTTAAGTGTGAAGTGCTTTGGTTCAAGTTTAACAGCTTTGCATTCTCTTTCATGATAGAGAATTTACCATATGTTGCAGGACAACTTTGGAGAAGTATCAGCAGCACTTAAAGTGTTGGTTTAACACATGCAGGAGAGAAAGAAATTATCATTGAAAAAAATCTTAACTTCCACATAGTTCTAGGAGTCATGTTGCAAGTTTTTTTTTTATTAAAAGATAATTCAGATTACAGATGAGATAAAAGGCTCAGACTCTTCTCTTCTTTATTTTTATTTAATGGTACATCCAGTTATAGTAGTGTTATAGATGACATAGCTGTGGAGTAGACATATGGAAAGTTTTATAAACCCTAAAATTATATAATTACTATTCAACACAATTTTTTTTTGCAAAACCTGGTTATCATTTGTGGCTACTATGAATTTACAGGGTTTTGAAAAAGAAACCTGTTATATTATGCAAAAATATGGCAGTAATTTAGTGTAATGTGTGCCAGAAAATGTAAGTCAAACTGATGTGTAAGATTCATTTGCAATGTCTTTGATTATGAATTTCTTGTGGTATTCTGACCAAGATGATAGATGCAGTGTCATTTGTAACACAGGATACAGCTTCCTATAAATGATCCCAGCTGTACAGCACAAGGTGACACATGAGTAATTTTGATGACAACCATGTTTATTTTTCAAAGTAAGTTACAATATTTAGTGATCTGGAACTAGCAAAAGCAGAAGACTAGTACTATAAAGGCAGAAAAATAAACAAATGGTCAGGTGTCCCAAAGAAAGAACAAGCTTATGTTGTCAGGCATTTCCATGTTTGCGCTTCTTTGGAGTAGGTTTCCCTGTCCCAGTCAAATTTTTAGAATTATGTAAAATGTCAAGTGTCAAAATGCATTTCTTTGTCATATGCAGCATTATTTATCTTTTTTTATTATTTGAAGCAATTTTATTTGCCCTTTTTTTCATAATTTGTTTGATTATATACTTACATATGCTTTTTTTCTTTCTTTTTTTTTCCATTCTTTCTTTCTTTCTCTCTTTCTTTCTTTTTCATCAGAATGAGCTTGCAGTCCTGATGTTGGTGCTTGCATGGATGCCAAGTGGTCGCTCAAGACCTTCTTACCTCACCTTAATGCCTGCATGCAATCAAGGCTTCCAGTCACTCCAGGTCTATCGTAGTCATTTCCCCAATGTTATTTTATTTTTGTAAATTTTTGATATTTGTTATTAACCATTCTGATGGTCTGACTTCTCTGTACCAAATATCATTCGGAAAAGGGATATAACACATTGTAGAAGGAACAAGGAAGGAAAAAGAAAAATGGTCTACATATATACATATAGACATATATATATATATATATATATATATATATATATATATATATATATATATATATATATATATATATATATATATATATATATATGTACATATATGTATGTACTGTATATGTATATATATGTGAATATGTATAGATATGTATATATGCATAAATATATATATATATATATATATATATATATATATATATATATATATATATATATATATATATATATATATATATATATACATGCATGTGTGC